TTTTTTAGACTGAAATGTTTCCTCATACTTCATTCCTCAAAATAACCCTTAATTTTCTGTAGTACAGGTTATTAGGTAGAATCAAGCTGGTAGGGAAAGTATTGTGGCATATTTTTGGCGACCTATCTACTTTAGAGAAACTTATTATCTTTTCTTGTGGAGGAAAAGATACAGCAAAAATAAGCAAGGGCAGAATTGGAAAATTTCAGGTGTTTCCTTAAGTATAATTCATAACACTTTTGCTGCAACGGTACCGGATGTGATTAATTTAAGTGTTTTTTAGATCTTTAAACCTTATTTTAGGTACTATTTTCTCTACCTTTCTTTCTTTTAAAGTTTTCTTGATTAAGTTTTTTTTTTTGCGAAGTGGAGAACTCATCAATCCGATCACTTCTCTGTGCACCTTTGTATCTGGTCGTGATGCTAATAAGTGACAATTTTTAAGGAAACCCACATACCAAATGCTGGGATCCAACAGAGGAGAGACAGGGTGCACACAGCTCTGAGGTAATTTACAGATTACATGCTCACCCCAAATTATGGAGCTTTAACTGTGTTGTTTATTTTACAGGAACCAAACAACAGTCCTTGCTCCACAAGAAACAGTCTTGAGAGCCAAGGATCTGTCTGTGATTCTTAAAGCGTATGTGTTGGTGACATCCTTAACTCCTCTGCGTGCATTCATTCATTCAACTGGCACAGTTTGGAACCCACCGAAGAAAAAACGCTTCACTGTCAAGGTAAAATTCCCATTGAAGCCGTTGTTTCCCACAAAGTATACGGAAGTTGAGTCAAGTGAGTTTCTCTGACCTTTATGATGATCAAACCCCATGGAACAAAGATTGTATCATTTTACCGCTGCAAGCAAAGGTTTTCATTTAATAGTTGCCAGTTCAAAATTGAACTGGAAACAGCTTAATTCACTAAGGATCACAAAGGCTACCTCTTTTTTTTCCCCCTCAGTTCATCGTTTTAGTTCTTTGACCCATTTTGGAGCTAGTTCTCAGCTCTAGTCTGTTTTTCTTGACTTAGTTTGACTTTCCACTTATTCAAGAAAAATATGGTCAGTGCAACAAAGGAAAATACAATTTTGCCCTTACGTTTTTTTGCTTCATTCTTGGGAAGCATAATACCTATTTCATTTCACCATTCAACATGGAATCTTTGCTGAGTGAAGAACAATGTTCTCAAGGGTGCTTAGTATAGTAAGCGGTGACACAAAGCATGATGAGAAAGTTTTCAGGGACAAACTTAATAATAACCTCCAAAAAGTTTAGTTATAAAAGGTAATTCAGGTTAGCTCAGTTGAAAATAAGGTCTAGTGAGAACATATTGCATCAATTTTAAGGAGTTTCTGATTCTACAGAAATAATTGTTTCACAGTGCAGTTAAGAGGAACAGCACACACACATTCTTCCAGTTTCCTTCCACTTCTTCCTATCTGTTTTCTGAACAATTATTTCTGTAACATCAAAGATGCTTTCAAAGAACAAATACCACATGATCCCACTTATTGAGGGTAATCTAAACTAGTCAGACTCACAGAAGCAGAGAATGCGATGGTGGTTACCAGGGGCTGGGGAAAGGAACGGGGAGGTGCTTGTCTAAGGGTAGAAAGTTTCAGTTATGCCAGATGAGTAAGTCCTAGAGATCTGTTTATAGCCTAGTACCTGTGGTTAATGATACTGAGGTTTGCTAAGAGGATAGATTTTAAGTGATCAATCAATCAATCAATCGAGGGGGAAGAAACTTTTGTAAGGACTAGATATGTTTCTGACTTGATTGTGGTGGTTTCATGGGTGTATACTTGTCTCTAAACTCACCAAATTGTATACATTACGTATGTAAAGGTTTTTGTATTTTAATGATAAAATAGTTTTTTTAAAAAAAGAAGGCACAGATGCCTTTCATAGTTTCAAAATATTTAAAACTGACTGAGCTTGATGCTTTTCAAACTGCCTTTGAAGTTCTGGAGAATCTCCCAATGGTGAAAAATTTTTAAACTGCCCTTTTAAATATTGTCAGTAAAAAAACAGATCAGTATGGTAAAAGATGCAGGGGCTATATTACTAAGTAAAATAGATCACTAATAGTTTAAGGAAATGGTGTTGATGACTTAGGTCTTAAGGGTGGTTTATTTTAAGGACAGTCATCTCAATTATATCAATATATATTGTTTTCAATTAATCATAAAACATGGAATCTAATTTGATTTGACTTGCATGTTATCTCCTACAAGTCTTTACGTGGCTATGTATATTTTCCTAAATACCTTTAGTTACTCCCCAATTGCCTCTTTCTATTAAGTTGAATTGTATGAAATTGCTGACAATTGGCCATTTTTTGACCTACCGAAAATTGCAATTTCTTATGATTCAGCCAAATAATTGGAACTCAGGTATAGAGAGGTACAAAAAATCATAATCCTCAATTCATGTCACATTCATACATTCAATACATGTTTCTTGAGCAGAGACCAAAATCCTTGTCCTTGTGGAACTTGCAACATCAAAGTGGGCAAGACTCCTCTCTTGCTTTGTTTTCTTTTTTTTCCTTTTTAAAAAAATTAAAAAAAATTTTTATTGAAGTATAGTTAGTTTACAATGTTGTGTCAATTTCTGATGTACAGCATAATATTTCAGTCATATGCATTCATACATATATTCCTTTTCATATTCTTTTTCATTATAGGTTACTATAAGATATTGAATATAGCTCCCTGTGCTATACAGTAGAAACTTGTTGTTTATCTATTTTATATAGAGTAGTTAGTATCTACAATATCTCGAACTCCCAATTTATCCCTTCCCATCCCCTTTCCCCTCTGGTAACCATAAGTTTGTTCCTATGTCTGGGAGTCTGTCTCTGTTTTGTAAATAAGTTCATTTGTGTCTTTTTTTTTAGATTCCACATATGAGTGATATCATATGGCATTTTTCCTTTCTTTTTCTGGCTTAATATATTTTATTCTCATTTCCCACTCAATTCTCCTTCCCTTCAAAGGCCATCATTATAATGATTTAATGTGTATCTTTTTGTGCCTATCCTTGTAAAATAAGCATTTTTATTTTGTTATGCATGCATGTATTTTTAGCATATAAATTGTATTATATTATTTTACATATTTTTTTCTAGCTTTTTAAAATGCAGCATTACATACTTTTAAGAAGGAACCGTCCACATTGCTATGTGTACATCCTCTGTGTTTCTTCACTGATGTATGTATAGTATTACTGATGTGTGTCCCATTATAGTTTACCAGTCCACTGCTTCAGTGATTATTCTAGTTCTTGGGTAAAGCAAACAATGCTTCAAACATACAAATCCTGGTATCTGACTCTTTATGAACATGCATGTGATTTTCTGGAGAATATATACTCAGCACTGGAATTACTGGATCATAAGATAAGGGTTCATTTGATAAAATTAAATAATGTCAGCTTGCCCTCCAGAATGCTTGGATCAGTTTCCATGCCACTGTTAGGTGTTCCATGACCCCACAATTCGGCCAACATTTGACCTTTCCCAGCCTGTGACAGGTGAAAAGTGTTACCTTGCCCTTGCAAATAGCTCAACTTTTCATCTGTCTGTTAAATTTATCAGTGTTCTTTGTTGATCAGAAATCTTCAGTTGATTAATCAAATTAACTTTTCCTTGTGGTTCCTGCTTTGGGGATGTAGTTCCAGAAATCCTTTCTTATCTTTAAGTCCCAAAGATGTGCTTCTCCATTTTTTTTCTATTATTTTTATAATAAAAATTTATTTGTAAAATAAATATAAAATAATTATATAAAATAAAAGATATATTTATATTTTATAAAATATAAAATAATAAAGAATATAAACTTATATTTAATAATAAATATAAAATAAATATAAAGATATTTTCCCCAGACATTTGAATATTTAATTCAACTAGAGTTTACCTTTGATCCAGCTATTTTTGCTGTATAATCCTTTCTCACAAGCTAAAAACTCATCATTTCCCAAGAGTCTAACATCACCTTTACTGTATAAATTTTCATGTGTATAGAGAGCTGCCTCTGAGGTCTCTATTCTGTTCCAGTTGGCCCATTTGTTTTCATTATTTTGCCTCTAAGTATGTCTTGATACCTGGCGAGGGTGGTCCCTCCTGACTACTCTTATCTTTTCAAGATTAAGTTAACTATGTTGTAGGCATTTATTTACTCATAAACGTTTTAGAATATCAAGTATATTTTAAAATCCTACTGGAATTTCAATATTGAATAACATTGAATTTATAGTTTAATTTTTGAAGAATTGATTATTCATAATATTAAGTATCCCCATTTATTGAGATCATTTTCTTTATCCTTTATTAGAGTTTAATCATTTTTTTCTCCGCAGAGATCTTATGTGGTCCTGCTGAAGTTTATTTCTGTATTTCCTGGAGTATTTTTTGATATTGCTTTTAAATTACGTTGTCTAGTTGGTTATTACTAGGATAGAGATATACTATTGTTAAAGTTGAACTTCTATTTGATCAACTTGTTCCAATAATTTTACTATTAATACCATTGGTTTTCTAGGTATTTTACCTGCACATAAGTTACGTTAATCTCTTTCCTTTTAATTCTTGAGTATCTTGTTTCCTTCTTCCTTTTTCCCCCCCTCTTTTCCTTTACTAATGTTGGCCAGAATCTCCAATACTACCTTTAAAAGTAGAGCTCATGGTGGGTGTTAAAGGTGACGTATCTCAAGTTTCTCCATTAAAAAAAAATTCTTGCAGTAGGTTTTTAGTATTTAATCTTTACAATCTCTGCCAAACTAGTGAGAATAATATAATTAACTACAATGGATTTGTCATTACATTTCAGCCGTTACAATTTTGGGGTAATCTTGTTTCATCTGTACCCTCTCTACTCCCTTTCCCTAACACTAATTTATCTTGACGCAAATGCAAGACATCATATGATTTCACTTATAAACCTTTTTAGAGTGTAACTCTAAGAAATATGGACTTATAAACTTTACAAAGTCAAGGAAG